AGTTATGTTTTTAGATTGAAGTGCAAAGATCACAATCCCTTCCTTTTTTTTCCAAAGAAAAAGAAGGGGGCAGTTAAATTTTCAGGATTTTATTGATTGGGCTCTCTCTGTGGAAATGTGGTAGGAGGCAGATTAATTTTTCACTTTGCAAAAAAGTGAGGCTCCCATTCTTGGCTAGGGCACTATCTTTAGCTTGTCAACATCTCTTGTTGCATTTGAAGAAAAATAAAAGTTGAGTAAGGAGAGAGTTCTTCCTCTGTGACTTGCAGAATGACCCTGGGTCACAGGTGCAGTCTCTGCCCAGAACCTGTTTGGGTGGCTGGTTGGAGGGGTTCTAAGGGCAGAACAGAAGATATTTTCCTGATAGAGACATCCTTCCCAAAACATGATTATCCAGTTTGATCCAGCTTGTTCTGATGACTTAAGAATGTCAGGTTCCTCTAGCCAGTACATGGCATCAGCTCCTGATCCTCAGGAAGGTGCCCACTTCTTGACTAAAGTTTGTACCAAAACAGCCAACAGCAGAATGAGAAATCATGAATTTGCATGAAAAGAGGCAGCCAAAGTAAGTTCCCTGCAGGATATGGAGTGCAGGTTGGTTCAGAAGTTGAGTTCAGATCCTCTTCTCTTGTGAAGGTCAATTGTGACAAACACAACTACAGGCCCACCATGTTCTGGGAAGGCTGATGTAAAAGACTCCTCTGTATGTCTACACAGAAGTAAGGCATGCTGTATTCACTGGAGCTTCCTTCAAGATAAGCACACATAGGTTTGTGGTCTCAAATATTATATTTCTTTTATACACCTAAATTATACCGTTCCTTAATTCTAGCAATTTCAAACGACTTCATTCTCAGCTGTTAAAGCATATGCTACCCGGGAAGCAGGAAAAAAAATACCAAAGTTAGAACCCACAAATATTAGAGTAAACAAAAGAAAGAGTGCGATTCTAACATCAAGCATCCTGTGCAGTCATACTGTTAAGGATCAGCAGCATATTTGATGTAAAGTGATAACAAATCATATTCTGTGATATGTACAAGAATATTTTATTTTCTTACATATTCATATTGCAGATTTTAAGCATGAAAAGCTTTTTGTTTAAACCTTTCCTTCTTTAAAAAGGAGGCAAATGTTTCAAAATGTCATTTGCTTAAGGAACTTCGCAGAGCAATTTCTGGGAGGGGGGCGCTGGGCTCTGCTCTTTGAGCCAGCATAGAAGTTCACCGGGACTTCAGAAGAGCCAAGAGGGCAATTTTGCAGGTTGGGAAATGAATTTGCTTGTGTTCTCCCCCAAACCTATCTGTGGGACTCCTGTGGTTTGCTCTGGCATGCAGAGGTTCAGCCTGGCTTGCCCTGTGTGCTGTTGGCAAGCCTAGACGCTCCATCCTCCCACTGGCTGTTTGTGATGTGCAGATGTCCGGGGTTCTGTCGTCCTGGATGAAGGTGCTTGAGAGGAGACCAGCCACCCCTTGGCCAGGGGTGCAGAGGGCCTGACCTTCTGGAAGCTGCTCTGCCTGGGCCAGCTCGCAGGAGGAGGTGATGGTGCCGGGCCCCAAGCACATTCTGTCCAGTTGCATTCTCATGAGGAAGATTTAAAGAACGGCTGTGTCTCTTCTAGGGTAATTGCAAAGCTTCCTTTGCGAAACTCTCTGGTAACCCTGGAAACAAGAAGCTACTCTGAGTGTAAAAGAAGAGTCTTGGGATCTGAAAGGCAACTGTCAAGCTCGCTCAGTGGCTCTTTTCGCATGACAAAGTCACAGGGCGGATATAGAGATCCACTCCTGCCCCCAAACATCCTTGCCTGTTTCTTCATGGGCAGAATGGCTTAGGGTCGGTTCTGCTGACCACAACGTAGTGCCACGGCCCCCATGCAGCAGAGAAGCCCTGACAGCTGGCACCCTGGGATTCTGCCCCCCTCTCGCCCCCACTGACTTCCTGAGCTCTTTGCAGTGTTTCGTGCTCCAGACGTGAGCCAAGATGGTCAGTCCTGCGCATCTAATAGAGCTGCAAGCTTCTGTGCTTGCGATCCTCCGGGGTTCGCAGAGACGGGGCCACAGGGCAAGGAAGCCTTGCACAGCAACCAAAGGATAAGCTTGCCGAGGCCATGCTGTGAGCTAGAAGGCAAGCCGCAGATGTGGCTGAGTTCGGGTTTACAGCCAAAATCTCTTGCGGGGGGAGGTGCAAACTCAGCTGTTTGACTTGGAATGAGCCAGTCCAGCCCAGTGGAAAGATCATGGCATTTTTCTCAAAATCCTTGGTCTCGGTCGCTCTGCCAATCTGAGAAGGTCATCTGAGTGCAGTTTTTGAGTACTTGTGGTTGAAGATAAATATCTGGAAACATATCAGCTGCCTCCTTTCATCTTTATGGGGTCCTTCTTTACAGTGAACCCCCCCCCCCCCCGCATGCCTGTTCTTTCCCATTTTTCGGCAAGACACATTGGAAGCCCCACAACTCGTATTTCGTTGGAGTGTCACAGCCAGGTTCCCTCCTCCCCAGAGTGCCCGGAACAGACTCTGCTCCCAGGTTTTGGCCACGGCTGCAGAGAGGTTGGCTCCTTCTGGGCTTCTGCGGTTCTGTTTGCTGGAGCAGCAGGCCAGCTTCCCTCTCGGTCGGGGAGGCCCCGTGCACTGCAGGAAGGGAAGGGCCGTGGCCAGGAACCGGGGCTGGGAGAGCTGTGCCACCCTTGAATGAGGAAGGAGCCAGCGGATGGGCTCCTCTGGCACCTGGCCTGTTACCATGGCAGTGCTGGGCATTAGTGCTCTGGCAGGCTGTTGCTTTCTTTGCCCCCTTCCCAGCGCTCTTCCTTGGCTTGCGCAAAACAAAGATGAAGAGAAAAGCTGCCTGAGGCTGGTTCACTGGAGAGATGTGCCAGGCATGTGAAACGCTGCCCTCCACCCCCTTGGCAGGTGCCCCGTGTGACCCTCCAAAGAGGGGTTAATCTTTTCTGCTGCTTAATCTTTTCCTCACTAGGGGAGCACCCTCGGTGGGTGTGCCAGACCAGGGGAGAGGTTTCCTGGCTCTTTCAGAGGATTTCCTAATGAGAGACCAAATTCCTGTCCCCCATCAGGACAGTCTTTCATCCCCTTTCACGATGGAAACCAAAATAATAGGAAAGTAGGAAAGAGAACCAAGGAAAGCAGTGATGATCTCCTTCTCAGAGATGTTGAACACTCTTATAACGATTTCATCATTTACAGAATGGTTAAAATGGAGGACAGGAGGAGGCAAAAGTTATTTGCCGTTCCTCCCCTCCCCTCCCCTCCCCTCCCCTTCTCTCTCCTCTCTCCTCTGATTTATATGGCTGCCCATCTTGCAAATGTGACTCTGGGCAGCTAACAATAGATTAAAACAATAAAAAACAACATTAGCAGAATAAAAATATATCTTTGTAAGCATGTCCCATTTCTGCATCATTTTCCTCAAATAGGCCTAGTGCTTTACCTGCTGCAGTGATGCTTCCTATAGGCTTCCATCTGTGTGGGATCCTTTTCGGTCATCGAGGTCCAAGGGCCTCCTGTTGACTGACACTCATTTAGCAAAACCCGGTCTCCACCTCCGTGGCTTGCAGCATCCGTGGGCCCCTGAAACTCAGCAGAGGGTGATTCACCAGGTCCCCCTTGTTGCTTTCCATTAGGCACTTTGTTGCCCAATGTGAAGATCGGATGCTTTGGTTGGATTCTGCACAGACACTGCTGTTTGCTTTGTTTGTTAGATTTATAATCCTGCCTTTCCATCAGGAACTCGAGGTGGTGCATGCAGCAGTTCCTTCCCTTGTGCCAACCTGATAAAATAGAGTGCCTGGTCTAAATTTACCCAGAGAATTTCCACAGTGGAGGATACACCTGAACTTGGATCTCCTCAGTCCTAGTCTGGACTGAGAGACTAGCTTTCCATCCTGAAACTGACAGCAGTGTGCACGTTAGCTAGCGTGTGCCTGGAATGAGCCCAGTCTTGCCTTTTGGAAGTCTCAAAGTATATCTTGGAATGGGAAAGAGGCACAAAGGACACCCATCAGGAGACACTGAATGCAAGTCCCAACTCTCCGTTTAGCCCATGAATTCTGTGGCTGTCTCTTCAGGGTCTTGTAGGTGAGAGTTGCAGGGAGTCTGAAACATGATGTGCTCTGCCCTCAGGGCAGCGAAAGGGGATGTTTGTCTCCTTCTTGGGTCAGTCTGTGTGGCGGCTGCTGCTGCTGCTGCTGCTCTTGGTGAAACAACCAGGTTGGCCAGCAACTGGCAACTGCTTGCTTGTGTGCAGCCTGACAGGTCTTTGGAGAGCTGGGGACAGGAAACTATACAAGGCAGGACTTTGCCTTCACATCATGTCCTTTTCTCCATTTTCATCGTTAAATTTATGGATCATGAAGGGTAGAGAAATCCAGAATTACAACTGTCACTTTCAGTAGATTGATGATGGCAATAATAATGTGCCATCGAGTCGTTTTCATATTTAGATTTTCTTCATGACAAGCTATCCCTGACCTGTTCTGTCAAATCTCCCAATGGTGCACCCATCACCCCTCTAATCAAGTCCACTCCCTTCACTGCAGGTCTTCCTCTTCTTCTCCTCTTTCCTTCCACCTTTCCCAGCATCAGAGCTTTCTCCAGAGAGCTGGGTCTTCACATCATGTGTCTGAAGTAGGATAATTTGAGCCTGGTCATTTATATATTGAGTGAGAACTCTGGGTTGATTTGTTTTCTTGGCTGTCTGTGGTATTCTCAGGAGTTTTCCCCAAGAAATATTAACCAATCCACTCAAAAATAAAGCTCTACAGTGTGGTTGGGCGTCATTGCCCATATGATAATTATTGTGGTTTGCGTTTGTTTTCCTCCTTGCTGAATGCTCTGTGTTATCAGTCCTTACTAAGTGTTCTTCCACAATGACACCTACTTGCAAGAAGGTTGCCATAAGGTTTTGATGTAGACAGTAAACCCGATTGCTGCATTTCCTAGTGGCTTCATCAGCTATGCGTAATTTCCTCTCTTCCTGATCCCAGGTTATCCTCAAGGATCTTGAAGTCTTGGCAGAGATTGCATCCTCTCCAGCTGGCCAAGTGGAAGGCCGAGGGCTTCCGGAGGGCTCTGGGCCACGAGTGGAACAACTGGACTTGCCTCTGCCCTCTTCAGCCAAAAGTAGCCAGGCTGTCCCCACTGGTAAGCACATCATTGCCAGCCATTTCCTGGCAAAGGGAGAATGTTCTGAGCAGCCTTTTGCTTTTTCTTCTCATTCAAAATGACACAGGGTGGCTTTCGCTAGGCACCCTCTGGCATAAACGAACCCCAGTATTGGTTCTCATAATGTGTGGGGCAAAACCCTTCTGCTCTGTCTTCCTCATACTTAATGTTCTCTTGGCGGGTTTGGCGGCGGCTGCTGCGGCTGCGGCTGCGGCTGCTGCTGCTATATTAGAGGTTGGGGGAACTGAGCGAGGCCTTTCATTTTTGAGGCTGGATAGGAAAGTGAATAATTGTGATCCTAGTAAGAACATAGATTTTCAGTGTGAATGGTATAGCAATGGAATCAAAAGCCTTTGCTTTCTTGACCTCATCTTGATCTTTAAAGCCAACTTCTGGTCCTTGTGACTGCAGATTAAACCTGAGACAGAGGGAAGGAATGATGGTCTCTATTAAAAGTAGTTGAGGGGAAATCTGGCTTTCTTCCAAGGATAAGCAGCTGATGCTTGGCTGTGGACCTCCCAGGCCCTTGTTTTTGGATGGAATCCAACACGCCTGCAGAGTACCACGTTGCCTATTCCCAGTATCTCGCCTCTGGAGTCCTGAAGCTGTTTGGGAGACAGAAGAAAAGACTGAATCAAATGCTGCTGTGCTGCCTGGTGCCTTGTACTTTTAAGAAAGATACTATAGCTGCAGAAGAAAGAAATGAATAGTGGAATTAATTCAAAAGTAGGAATTTATGGGTGGGTGAAAGATGTATGCTAGATTCTGGTGAGTGGTATTAACAATCCAAGGATGTATTTAGGGAGACTTGCTTTTTTATAAAATTTGCATGGCTGCCCATCTTAAAACAACTCTGGGTGGCTCACAACGACAATAAAGCTATGAAAACCATATAACAAAAACTAAAAACCCAGCACCTCAACCCTGGCAACTCCCAGAGTGCCCCAACAACCCTCTGCAGGCTCTACCACTCTACCCCAGTGCCTAGGTCTTGATGGCCTTCCAGAAGGCTAAAAGGGTGGGGGCCTGCTGAAGCACCAGGGGGAGGGTGTTCCTCAAGGTAGGGGCAGCCACGGAAAAGGCAGGCTTCCTAGGTCCCACTAGAGGGCACTATTTCAGGGAAGGGACCTGTCGTGTGCCCACCCTACCTGGTCTAGTGGGATGGGCAGATACCCTCAGGGAGGGGCGGTCGCACAGTAGACTGGCCCCATGCCATATAGGGCTTTAAAGGTGATTACCAGCACAGTTACCAGCACCAGGGCACAGTTGGTACTCAAAGCGAATCTCTAGAAAGGCCCCGAAAGCCACAGCTGCCTCCTGCTCTCTGAGCAGGAGGACCCCCAAATTGTATGCCAGCTCAGTCTGGGGAAGTGCAACCCCCCCAGAGTCAAAGTTACAGATCACCAGACCCTGGGGGCCCAAAAACCCAAAGTTGTTGCATCTTGCCGGGGTTGAGTTGAAGTTGGTTCCTCCCTATCCAGACCCTCACAGCCTCCAGGCACCCAGTCAGCACTACAGATTCACCTACCCGTCTTGGGGTGGAGATGTATGACTGAGTATCATCAGCATACTGATGTTACTGCACCCCATGCAAATAACCTTACCCAGCGATTTCAGGTAAATGTTAAAAAGGAGAGGAGAGAGCCCTGAGCCTTGAGGAACCCTGTGTTGCAGGGCCTCAGTTGTACAACATTCTGAATGAATTGATCAGGGGAAAAACTAATGATGTTAGGTGGCATCAATACAAGTAGTCCTCATTTAATGGCCACTCATTCAACAACCATTCAAAGTAATGAAGGTGCTGAACAAGTGGCACTTACGACCAGTCCTTAAAGTTCTGGCTGTCCCAGCACCCCCAAAGTCATGTGACCACGATCTGGGCATTTGGCAATGGCTCACACTAACAACAGTTGCAGCGTCCCACGATGATGTGATTGCCATTTGTGACCTTCCCCGCTGGCTTCCCACAAGCAAAGTCAATGGGGAAGCTGGAAGGGAAAGTCACAAATTACTCACTGGAAAGTCACTCACAGTCTCCCCCACCTGGCAGCAGCCACCCCTGGCCCCTCTGTGCTTGTACCATGCCTCGCAGGCCACCCGCGCACCCTCCCCTGTCCAGCAGCAGCCAACCCCACCACGCTCAGGCTGAACCAGCCACTCGCACACCCTTCCCCACCTGGCAGCAGCCTCTTACCTGCTTGCTGGCCTGGTTGCAAGCCACCTGGAGCTCACTTAATGACCTGCAATCCTCGCTTAACAATGGCAGTGAGAGTGCCAGGATTGCTGTCACTAAGTGATGCAGTCACATGACATTGCGCTTTACGACCACATTGCTTAGCGATGAAAATTCTGGTCCCAATTATCATAATTAATTGAGGACTATCTGTAAATTGTTGGGAGCACAGTACAGACGGGCCATTTGGAGGGCCAGAAATGATGAGTTCAGAAAAAAGTCTTGTTTCCAGTATGTGATTTAAGCATAAGACTGTTCATACCTATGGTAAATGAAAAAGCATGACTAATTTGATTATTTGTAATGTAAGATTGACAGAATTAGGGAAAGATGTAAAGGTGATGAGAGTTCTGGATGTGGAACAGATTATTTTTTGGTAGTATCCAAAGTGGATTGTGTGGGAAAACGGACATAGAAGGAGAGGAAAGAAGTGAAAAAAAACAAGAATAGAAGTAGAATGACTGCAGGAGGAACCCTGTATGAAAAAATAATAGAAGTTTATGCTTCCAACAGAATGAATGGAAAGTGGGTGCAATGTCCCTGCTGGCTCAACTGAGTGGCTGGAAGGGTATGAGCAGCTGAGGCCAGGAGGGACCCAATGCTGTTTTGAGAGAGAGGAGAATGCCTCTTGCTCTGAAGGAGGTAGTTGTGGGCCCTCTCTTGAAGAGGCCATCCTTGGACCTGGTTGTGCTTGACAGCTTTCTCCTGATCTCCAGCCTGTCCTTTTGGAGTAAGATTGTTGAGAAGGTGGTAGGAAATCAGCTAGAGTATCCTAGAAGAAACAGGTTATGTGGCTCCTTTTCAGCTGGGATTTAGACCTGGTCATGGGTCAAAAATAATGTTGGGTTCTAGTTGACCTATGTTTGGACCTAGATAATGGGGTAGGACTTTCTTGGTCCTGTTAGACCATTCAAAAGCTTTCAGCACTACCAAGCATGGTATCTTTCTGGATTGCCCCACTTTATGGAATTCCTTCCCCCAGAGGGACATGCAGCCTTACCTTGTTAAGGGTCCATAAGCCAGCCCAGACTGTATCATTTGGGGATGCTCATCCTCTACCTTTAAGTTCTGAATTTTATAATGTATCTTGTGTATTGTGTATATACACAGAAGCAGTCTTGCGTGTTGCTTCTGCCACTTAGGATCTTCCAGGATTTTGGGAGATTATAAACATGTTAAGATGATGATGATGATGATGATGATGATGATGATGATGATGATGATGATGACGACAGCAGCAACTGCCTAGAATAGAGTTCAAAATTAATTAAACTTTTTATTGGCCAAAAATTAGAGTGGAAAGAATTACAGTGAATGCCCCTACTTACGAATGCCCCTACTTACGAAATTTTCGAGATATGACCAGCTCCGGCCCA